CATCCGCCCCTATTGCTTAATTCTCCATTAAGGATGGTCATACTCCCATGTCCCTAAGTGGAGACACCTTTTAGTCCAATGGGCCAGTCGAGCAACGACATTCAATAGGTTGAGGATATTAATCCCGCAGCGGGGGAGATGAGTCTCGCCAAGGTTGCCCCCATACTTCTGCGATTCTATTTCTGTCTAACCTTAGTGAAAAGTCCATTTTACCACTTCCAATGCGATGGATATGTATCTCGCCCTGATGCGGTATTGTGCTTGAGGATGTCGCACCAAGGGGAGTCGCACCCAAGGGTGTCGCGTTTGTCACTGTTATCTATACCAGTCCATCTGAACTCTGTCGGGCGTCATTTCCATATCAACTAATAATTGTTGCCACATGTCATGTTATGGTAAAGTCATGTGTCTTGAAGTTTTTTCGAGTACTACAATAATAAAGTAGCTAACTTTGTTTGTCTTGAAATTTTCGTGACTTAGATTATTTAAGGATTATTGATCCGACAATTCTAGTTGGACTTTCATATTTTTTATGACTCTAACACTCCCATCTTTCATATAACTCTCTCTCTATCTCATACACCCAACTCTCTCTCTCATAGACATTGTAAACACAAACTCTTCCGTCTCTTATATAACTCTCTCTATCTCATATCTATTTTAAATGTACAATCTCTCATCTCTCAGACTCTCTCTATCTCTATATATATAGAGAGATATATCTATCTCATACTCTCTCTCTATTAGTATTGTTTGTATTTCTCTCTCTCTCTCTATATATATATATATATATATATCTCACACACTCTCTCTACTAGCATTATTTGTCTTAACGATCCTAATTAGACTTTTATTCTACCTTTATCGCATACTCTCTCTCTCTCGGCATTGTTTGTCTTGACGATCGTAATTGAACTTTTTTACTCAAACTATTTGTATGATTTTATAGATGAGAAAATATTTAAATGTTAAAAAAAATTCTCAAGTTGTAGACATCCAAAGTCAAGCTAATCATCAATAAAAAAAAAAAGTCAAACTAAGTACCAATAAAAAAAATTCAAAGTTAAGCTAATCACCCAAAAAAAAATAAAATAACAAGTGATACTAATTGCACAAAAAAAAAATTTCAAAGCCAAGTTAATTACCAATAAAAAAATAAAAAATGATACCAATTGCACAAAAAAAATTAAAAAATTCAAAGTCAAGCTAATTACCAATAAAAAAATAACAAGGACCATTTAAAAAATAAGCGAAACAAATTGCAGAAAAAAAAAACCATATTTAGAACCAAGTATAATTTTTTTCTTTATTTGCATCGTTTTTCCCTTGGTAATGTTCACAGCTTTTTGAATACTTGAATAGTGAAAAGTAGACACCAAAATGACAAAAAGGTCAGTTAAATCAATTTTTTTTTGAAGTGGTGAAATTTTGATTTTGTTTATTTGATTTAATTGCAACGTAAGAATATTTTTGTAGTATTTGATAAGTCACAATGCCAGAGAACTTAAATCAATTATTCTCGCAACTACAAGCATATCTGTTAGGTAATAATAGTTTAGTTAAGTTTTTTTTTCTATTTTTTGAAAATTTTATTTGTAGTTCAATGTGGCTGATTCGTTTGATTAGTTTCAGTGACTTAATTGAGTGTTTTTAATGATATTCCTTATTAAAACTAGATATATTCATTAGATTTAGCCAGATGTTGAAAAAATTAACACTCATTTGGTGGGAAAAAAAAAGCCACCATAAAGAAATGTATGAGATGAGAATTTTGTAATGGTGTTAGTTTAAGTTCATGGGTGTAAAACCCGGTAAATTTAAACTTTTTACAAAAAAGGCAAAACGATAATTTGTCGTTACAGTACAGGTTAAAAATTAAAATTTTCTAGATCTCGGATGACGAAATGGACCTCACCGTTGGATTCGTCTCGCGAAATCTAGTTACCCTATCAAATTTTATAGAATTTTGAGATAGTTGGATTTTAACGTTTTACGAGACAGTCGAGTCTCGGGTGACCCAAGAACGGAATTTTTGATAAAATTTTAAAAGTTGGAACATTATTTAAGTTAAGTTAAAAATAAAAAATATTTTAAATTTAAACTGGGACGAAATTTAATTGTTTCGGGGTGAAAACAGACTCGAGAAAAATAGGGTCGTGTGGCGCGTTGTGGACCAAGTAATAAAAAATATAAATAGGGGAAAAAATCAGATTTTTCCCCCATTCTTTTGTCCTACCGTTAGCCGATAGAGAAGAGAGGGAAAAGAGGAAAGAAGCCCACCTTCTCTCTACGATCTACGACATTCTGTGGCTCAAATTCACTTGGGCCAAGAGTTAAAATCGGTCTCCTCGTTGAGGGCTACGTCTACGTACCAAAAATGAGGGTTTTCACTAGAGATCCAAAATCGAGCTTGTTAGAATCAAGGATTTTGGGAGAAAATTGGAGTCTTGGAGGTTTCTACCAAAAAGGTTTACGCTTCAAGAGGTAAGATTTCTCCTACTTGGGTTTATTTTACAACCTAGGGTGTTTTATGTAATGAGTAAATTTATATAGATGTATATCACTTGCCTATGGATGTGAAATCGATGGAATTAATTGATTTGGTGAATTGGGTATGAGAAATTGACCTAATTTCAATTAGATTCCTAGGTTGGAATTGGTATGTGGTAATTACTTGTGTAATTCCATGAAATTTGATATAGTGTGTGCATGCTATGTGATTAAATTATGCCTTGTAAACAAAGTGAATTATTGGTATATATGTGAGGAAATAACATGTTTTTGACTTATTATTGGAAATGAATTGTTGATATATGTTCATTGATATATTGACAGTGTGATGAAATTGGTGATGATATGCATGATATATGTATACATGTAGTTAAAGTTGCTCATATGACATTCATAACATGTGGACATGACATTGAGATAGTAATGGTGCATTACATTGCATATGCACGAAAACATCTCATTTTATGGGTGTGGGTGCACGGTTGGCATTAAACACTACATAGGTGGATGATGGGTAGGCTCGAAAAAGCTAGATTAAATATCCGGCTGAGTCGCATGGTTACATGAAAAATAATTGGCTCGGAGTTAGCAACAAGGACTAGACTATCCCTCGGGTAAGAGACCCGGTATTCGGATACGCACTTTCGTTGGTATAAGAGCCCATAAAGTATGTTGGTGTACGCGGAATCATGGTGGAAATCCATGAATTCCATGTCGGTTGGGTGACCGTTGGTGTAAGTCCATAAATACCCATCCCAAGAAAGACCCGGAGATTTTAAAATAGTCATTGGGTGTGTAACACAAATGGTGGGGGCTTGAAAAGCCTGGTTTTGATACTCACTGCATAGCATGGGTGAAGGTAAACGACCGGAGCTAGAAAAACTCGATTTTATACACATTGGTATTGCATGTGTTGTGGAGTCGCGAAGGGCTCCAGTAAATTGCATGAATGGTATCATTTCATTCTATGACATGACATGTTAGATTCCGACTTTGATTTGCTTAAATCTTGGTTGAAATGATTGTTGTTGGGAAATGTTGCATGTGAGCATTGCATATGCACTTAGGTTGGAGAATAGCCTCTGTAAGAAACATTTTACTGGGCGTTGAGTCACTCTATACGGAAACATTTCAGGTGCGGAGTTCGTACCGGTAGAGAACTCACATTCAGGGCCACGAGGGTGAAGAAGAGCCGGCTTGTGACTTTTGAAATGAAGTTTTGTAAAACTTTTGTTAAAAAACTAAGTTTTGACTTGTAAATATATGAATCAAATGTGATTGAACTTGTATGAGTCATGTATAATGTAGAAAACTATATTTTACATGTTGGGAATGAGTTTGGACGTGTTTTGGATGAATTGGAAATGAAAAATAAGTGAAACAAACAATTCTTGGCAAAACCTTTTGGAAGGCCGCAGCAAAACCTTTCGGAAGGTTTGAACAAAGACAAGGAAAAAAACTGGGGCAGTGGGTGAACCTTCCGGATGGTCTTCATATTTTTCTAAATGAGGGAATCCATTGTGTAACTTCTTTCAAAAGGTTTAACACATCTTACAGAAGGTCGACACATCCTTCTTCAAGATAGGATTTCCAGTATGCTAAATCTTCTACAAGGTTTATAAAGACCTTCCGGAAGGTCGATGAGAAACCCCTGAAGGAACTTTCCCAATAAGCAAAATCTTCCGGGAGGTCGAGCAAAACCTTCTGGAAGGTTTTCCAAAAAAATTTGAAAATTTAAAGAATGCATTACCACGCTTTTGGGCTATGTGTTCTTTGGTTCCAATGACACAAATAGATCTTAAATGAGACACATTGAGGTGTATTGAATCTCAATGAAATTAAAGGAACACGGGTTACACGTGTGAGTTATAATCCCAGACAAAGAGATATTATTGACGTGATGTCGGAGTGGACAACGATCATGGGTATTTCTGCGAGTTGACGGGTGACCAACAGTTAATAAAGGACCCCCGAATTTTGGGGTGTCAAAATGGGGACTCTCGGATTGTATTAATATGATATGATTAGTTTAAGTTCATGGAGATTCTCAAATTGTATTAATAAGATATAATTTTTCTTTATTTCAACCATTGCACTTATTTTATGTAACACATTCTTGAATGCCTTATTTAGTTGGCAAATTTTGTGTTAAAAATACCTTCAGGCACGAGTAACGACTAACACCCCTATAATATAGAAGCAAGATCAAATCAACTAAGCAATACCCCTAGAAAATAGAAACAACTGCAACTAGACTCGGTAAACAAAGAAAACATCACATGCAATCTCTATTTTATCTCTTACCACTAACTAAGACCTCCCCTAGTGCCTGACGACTTGCAACAGCCCTGCACACAGGACGTAACAATTACTCGGATGGGGACATCACATGCAATTTCTATTTTAGTAATATCTCTTTTGGGGCCCGTTTAATATTGACATAATATCCATCTTAATTGGTGATTAGGGTTTCCATCTCATCAGATTTATCAACGGTGCTCCCAAGTGAATAACTCCCTCCTTTTCCCGCCATATGCCCCCAACGGTCACTGCGTTGTCTTCTATATTGCGAAAATGTGCTCTTGTATCTGCAATGTCTCAAGTTAAGCAAACTCATACACAAATTCTCATTCATTGCCTCCCTCACAACGTTACCCTCCAAACAGACCTCTTGTTGGCCTATGCCAAAAGCGGCTTTCTGCAATATGCTCGCAAAGTCTTTGACAAAATGCTTGAAAGAAACATGCATTCTTGGAACATTATGATCGCCTCATATGTGCAGAATTCTCTATATTGTGATGCTCTCCGTGTCTTTAGCGGGTTCTTGAAAAAGGGTTTGAGGCCGGATCACTATACATTGCCTCCTACGTTCAAGGCGAGTGGAGAAATTGAATACTTTTTGTTGGGTTTGATGTTGCATAGTTGGGTGATTAAACTTGGTTTTGAAGATTATGTGGTTGTTGGAAGTTCTGTTTTGGATCTGTATTTGAAATGGGGGAGGTTAAATGACGCACAACGGGTTTTTGTTAATATGGAGTGGAAGGACCCTGTTGTTTGCAATTTGATGATTTTGGGGTTTGGTAGGGCTGGTTTTTATGTTGATGCTTTGAATTGTTTTAGGGACATGCTGGAGGAAAACGTGAGGATGGATTCTATGACTATTCCGAGTGTTTTGGCTGCTTGTGGAACTGAAGGAGACCATACGAGAGGGAAAGAAATCCACGGGCAAGCAGTGAAGAGTGTGATTTTTGATTATGATGTAGCGATTGGGAATGCGTTGATTGATATGTACTCAAAATGTGGTTGCTTATATTACTCTGAGAAGGTTTTCTGGAACATGAGTGAGTTGAATTTGGTGACTTGGACCACAATGCTATCTTGCTATGGGGCTCATGGGAGAGGAGAGGATTCTTTGGTTTTATTTGAGAAAATGAGAGATTGCGGTTTTGTCCCCAACCATGTTACACTCACAGCAGTTTTGGCTAGTTGTAGCCATTCAGGTCTTATAGACCAAGGCAGGAAGATTTTTAACTCCGTAAGTTCTGTTTATGGGATTGAACCTGGTGTGGAGCACTATGCTTGTGTGGTAGATCTTTTGGGGCGTGCAGGGTGTCTTGCAGAAGCATTTGGATTGATAGAGAATATGAAATTGGTCCCGACGGCAAGTGTTTGGGGTGCCCTACTTGCTGGCTGTACGATGCATAAGAATGTTGAGATTGGAGAAATAGCAGCTAATCACCTCTTTGAATTGGAAGCCAGAAACTCTAGCAACTACATAGCCTTGTGTGGTATATATGATTCCCTTGGTATTCAGAATGGCGTTTTGAGCATTAGAAGAAAAATGAGAGAATTGGGGTTGTTTAAAACTCCTGGTTGTAGCTGGATTTCTATTGGTGGGAATGTCCATAGATTCTACCAAGGAGACGTTTCTCATCCATTTAGTCAGACAATATATGAAACACTGGATGTAATTTTTAGGACCCGATGGTGACTCAAGATTTTTAGGGAGAAACTGAATGTATACAAACAAGAAAACTTATATATTTTTGGAAGAAGAGATGAAAATTAATTTGTCCCGGTTAATTACTGGAGGGTGATTTAAAAATTGACGTAAGATCCAAATCTCTGTGAACGATAAAGGGAGGATTCATAATGTGACACCATGAGCATAGCTGCACATTGTGGTTAGTTTATAATTTGACTTCAGTAAATGAAACAATTTAATTGTAATATTTGCATCCTGATAAATTGGCGGCACCTATATTTAAGGAAATACTATGAACCCTTTCAAAATCTCAGAATTTAGCATATTTTCAGTTCTACGCAAGTCTCAAAACTAGCATCCAACTTTGTTGTCTATATGCGAAAGTCTATCCCATGTCTGAGCTTCAAAAATATTAATATGGAATGTATGAGCTTCCATCATGTTTGTCAATGTTATAGTTATCCTGACTTAGTAACACAGATATACGCCACTAGTTTTTAAGGCCAACAGTCATTGCTGGCTGCGTTATTTGCAGTTTGATACTATACAATGATATTTATTTTTATGCAAATAAATCAAGTTTTATTTTTTAGCATAGCTAAGAAATTACTAATAATAGTAACACTCAGAAAAATTCTGAATTTTTTGTAGTTTTGCATTATGCTTTAATTCCACCAATGCTGCTCCGTTTATTTCCATACTGATTGATTCTTGACACATCAGCATAACAGAATTTCACCATTGGAGAAAGTAAGGGCACTAAATGCTAGATTAAGGACTAAGCATCTGTATTCATATCATTATTCAGTGACATTCAAATATTAACAACCCTTTTAATATTCATTTGAAGATTATTTTAAGATGATGGTACAACGTTACTATCAAACAATCATGAAACTTGTACCAGTTTTATTCCTTCAGATTAAGTTTGAAGTTGTGCAAAAGAATAAGAAAATTTGCACTTATTATTTGGAGAGTATAATGACAATATGGAGAATATACAAGCACATGGCTGGGTTTATCATGTATGCTTATAACTTCAATCTGCCCTTATGTTCAGGATGATGGTGGTGATGACTAGACTCAGACGTGGATGCTTCCATAGCCAGACCTCCTGGATGATCTTTTGCCAGGTGTGACCCCTTGCCTACTACTGTCTCATTCTTCTTAATCTCTTCCTGAATGTGCACATCTTCATCAATGGATAGTATAACGGTTTGTGTGCCATGTGGACCAGGTATGATAGCTTCCTGGACTTTCATATGTTCATCAATTTTCACTATATCAGTTTCCTGAACCATTTTCTTCTTTCTCTTCTTAATTATGCAGCATATAACAACTGAAAGGAATGCGAGAAAGAATAGGCCACCAATTGAGACAAATACAATTATGATTGCCGTATGGTGTCCAGGTGGGGGTGGAGTTGGAACAATATGTGGTGGTGGAGGATAGATGGGATGTGGTGGTGGGGGTGGAATTAAGTGACTTGGTGGTTTTGCTGCTGGAGGTGGTGGAATTGAAGAATGGGGTGGTGGTGTAACGGGTTGATAAGGTGGTGCCACTTTTGGAGAGAATGGAGGATTATAGGACGATGGCACCTTCGGAGGGGATGAAGAAGTATGAGGTGGTGTTGGAGGGATGTATGGGAAGTTGTATTCATAGTTTTGCACAGGAGCCATTAAATGCGAGAGAGAGAGAGAGAGAGAGGTGTACTGATTTGTGTTGTAAGAGATGGGGAATATGGTGTGTGCCATGCCTATTTATAGAGCTGAGCAAGGGTCCATAGAATTTCAATATGCTTTGCATACTAAAAAGTTTATAATGACTTGACACTCAAGCTAAGATTTTGATGGGTTGACATTGGTTGCATTGAAAAACACCCCTTCGTTGTGCTTTCAAACTGGTTCCCTCTCCACACTGCAAGAACTATTCTTTAGGATGACCATGTGGATGATATTTCTTTAAGCTTGCCATTGTTGTTATTACTATTATTGTTAAGGATGAGTAGATTGCTTACCTCCGAATCATGTATTTTCAGGCATCTGAGATTAGTACACGAGGTTGGTGGTGGTGAAATATAGTCTTGTCATAACGTAGAGAGACAAGCCCTGGTAGGTAAGGTATATTTACTGGTAAGCACCTTGGGTCTTTTCTTCTTCCCATTTTGTTTCTTAAAAAAGTGATTTTGGTCAAGGTTTTAAGCCCGTTCAATACTTAAGTCAAGCCAAACAATTTGCTGCTTTGCTCGGTCGACTCAAGCATGATTTGTTTATAATATGATAAATAAATATTCTCGTGGATATGAATAAAAAGTAGCATTCTTAGTTAATGGTTACGATGTTGGGCTTCTAATCAAGAGATAGCGAGCTTCAATCCCATTGGATGTGCAAACCAAGGCAAGATGAGTAAGAACTATAATCTAAACATACAGTAAAAGATTCAGCTCAATTAACAACTCTTTACGGTACATGAGAAGCGCCAACACAACCAAATGTATTGATTTTAACATGATCTGCAAATCAACCAAAACAAACCACACCATCTATGCCAGATTACTCAGTTTTCTTCTGCTTATTGTTTATGTTTGATAGAACTATCGGCACAATTTTCAAATTACCTGACGTAAAACCAGTCTCCTCTAAGTCATAATTAAACTGATCCACTTCGTACCCTGATATATTTTACTCCTGGGTTCAAACTTTACCAACAAACAGGCATGCAAAAAATTGATAGAATGTTAGGGGCAAACAAAAAGTACACATGTATTTTGAGTTAGATCCCCCAGCCACATAAACATCGAGCTTAACTGATGCTTGTGGTTGAGACAATTTTTCATTATCTCAAAAAAAAAAAAAAAAAAAAGAAATAAAAAGAAAAAGAAAAAACAAGATTGATAGAATGGGTACATGACAAGCTAGAGAGAGAGAGAGAGAGAGGGAGAGATTGCTATACTTATATTTCATTTTTTCTTGACAATTGTACAGAGTTAGAATTAGAAGCCCAGGAAGGGAGAGAGACAGAGATCTGTACTCATACTTTATTTTTTCCTTATTGTTGCAGACAATTAGAATTAGACGTCCTGAAAGAAGAAAGAATTGTAAGAATGACTAAATTTTCTCAAAGAAGAATTGTAAGATTTCCGATGTCCAATAATAGATTTACAATTACATTTGTTGTCCAACAATTACATCCTTACCACTTAAAATATTGATCAGTAAACAGAATCGAGGGAAGAAATCCTAAACCTAGAGGCCAAGATTGCTTCCCTTCTCCCATACAAAAAGAACAGTACAAGGAAAAAAAAGAGCCAATTTTACATGGCAAAATTGCCTCAAGATGTAACTATAAATCTATCTCCCTTCAAAATCATGCTGCCATCTTGAAAATTGAAAAAAGAATTGGTTAGCATGCCGCAGAGGAAAGAATTTTGGTGGATGAAACAGTATGTACAGGTTGTATTCTTTTCCAAATTGCCCAATCTGCATAAGTGAAAATAACAAATTAAATGGGGAATTCAAATGATCAGGTGCAGCTTTGTAATACTGATATTGGATACTCCCAAATAACCTGGATAGGAAAACAGTTCATCACCCAAAGAAGTGGTACAACGAGGCTTTCTTTTCATGTGAAACTAGCTGGTAGCTACTGATGGGAAGTGCCCAAGTTCAGAGAGGGCAAGCGAAATAAAATACCCCGTACCCGGGATTCAACTTTAAGTTGTTCTCCAACCAATCAATGATCTGGCCAGGAGATAAGTACATGACATATTTCTTCCATAAAATGCAAGGGGGAACTTTATTTCATCTTATTTTGCTTTTGAAATGTGTAACTTTTGCCAGACCAAAACAAAATAAATGGGGAATTTTTAGTGGTGAACTATATAATCTCAGAAACCAAGAGCATTGAGCACGTGATCAAATTACCGAATGTTGTCAGATCAAATCTTGCCACATGATGGGGGAAAAGGAGATCCTTGCCAATATTTTCTGTGGAGAGGGACAAATTTACCTCATGCCTTCATTCAAGGACGTGGATGTGCATTGTTAAGCAGGTAGGAGAGGACAATTTCATTCCATGCATCTGGAACTCCAGGTAGACACCAGTGGCTACAATCAGGTACAGATGAATTGTCACTCCAAGTTCCCACGTGTGCATCACTCCGAGAAGCCGACATAGAAGTTATATTTAGAACCGTCACAGGAACAGTCATATTCTTCACTACTTCCAATATTGCATCTGAAAATGGGCTTTGGTCCCTCCCTGTGGTTTGTGACACTGGTTGACGTGTTACGTTGCATAATCGAATGGTTTGATTAGTGATGCTGAAAGAAAACACCACCATCAGTCATGTCGACATAGGCCAATATGTACTTTAAAAGAGGATTCCCCAAGAATGTAAAACAAGAAAACAGAGACACAAAATAAAACCATTTTTCTTGGAAAAATAAAGGCTGCATTCAGCTGCAATTACTTATCCAGTGAGAACAAAGGATCAATTACATTAGTCTTTTCAATATTACAAACAAATAACCAACTAAAATCAATATTTGGGGCACAAAGTTCAAAGGAAGAAGTCAAATGATGATTGGAGGAAAAATAACTACGTAAACTGACAACAATAATATTTAGAAAACAGATAATGGCTCAATGATGACATTCAATTTGGGGAGAACATGCAAAATACGGGGTCCAGTGAACAGTCATGTTTAATTTTGCAATTGACATGTTAGAGCCTCTGTCCTAGTAAAGGTAAACATTTGAAAACATACCAATTGCATATCAGCTATATATTCACTCCAAGAGACACATCAAAAGGATACCTCCAGTGTGATGGTTCAAAAGTTCGAAAGAAGACGTGTGTTTGGTTTGTGTCAATCACAGTCTCAACCCAAGATGCCCAAGTGTGCAGTGCCCTTCTGAATGCAGTAGTGATTGACATTCCAAGCTTCAGTGAATTACGAACCCGGAAATAGCGTCCCCTGTCAAAACAGGATTTTGAAATCAAGTTTAGATACTCCTAGAGAGATGCAGATTTATTTCTGGAAAAAAGAAAAGAAAAATGAGAAGAGAAACTCACATGCTTTCATTTTGCTACAATTTTTTATTTACTGTTTTTTCATTTTTTCTCTTTTTTTTTTTAAAAAAAAAAATTTCTGCCTCCTTGTGATCCCCAAGTTTGTTTCTAGTATAAGAGTACCAAGTATTTACAAGTTTACACAGAAAACAAGACGACAAGAAAATATGATACTAATTTACCAAGAAGTATTTGAAATTGGATTCCATAAGCCAGTGTTATGAAAAGCGCGCCTAGGCGCTCGCCTAGGCGAGAAGCGAGGCGAGGCGAGACTTGCTCGCCTGGAGGAACCCAGGCGAAGCGAACCTGAGCGAGGCGAGAAAAAAGCGAGGAAAAGCGAAAAAGCGAAGAAGCGAAAAAAGCGAAGAAGCGATCGCTTTTGTTATGCGAGGCGAATTTTTAATTTAGACCGTAGGATTGGGCGATTGCAAAAAAAATTTTAAGATGTTAATGTACCGAATTATTCCCTTATCCTATAAATAAAACTCCTAACCTAATTTTGTTAATTTTTTTACAGATAGCTTCAATCGGTGCTTCAATCGGTGCTGCCTGCTACACGATCGATCGGTGCTGCCTGCTACACGATCGATCGGTGCTGCTCTCCCCTGCTTCGATCGATGCTGCTTCGATCAGTGCTGCTCTCCACTGCTACACGATCGATCGGTGCTCCTCTCCACTGCTACACGACGGATTTGGTGCTGCTCTCCATTGTTGCTCTCCACTGCTACACGATCGGTACTGTTCTCCAGTGCTACACTCCAAGGCTTCGAGTTTTCGCTACTTGTACACCATTGTTGTTGCTGGACTGAGGGTTTGGAGGGCTGGTCTGGACTGTGGAGGTTAGTCTCTTCTTCTTCTCTCTTCAATTTTTTTTTCTTCTGTCTTCTGCTCCTTCACCGATTCTGGTTTTTTTTTTTTTTTTTTTTTTTTTGCTTTTTCCTTATGTTGCTGTCCAAACTCCATTCTAAGGAGTTGCTGGAATGCTATTATTCGTAGTTGTACGTATGTTACATACCGATATGTACCTAGTTTTGTTATTGTTGCTAGATAAACAAGACTTATTGTAATGCAGCTATTTGGTTGGTAACACCTCTCTTCAATGGATAGCTCTGTGGCACTGGAATTTTTTTTTAAATCAGAAGTTATTTTCATAGGTCAAATTATAACTTTTAAAAGTGAAGTTGCAACTGAATGGAGTTAATCACGATCGATCATGAAATGTTGTGATCGGTCATTAATACTTCTAAAAGACGTAACTTTTGTGATTGATCATAATATTTTGACATCGATTATGTCTTTTACAGTCGTAATTTACACCCAAAAAATTATAACTTAATCATAAAAAGTTGTAATATTCGGTCGTAGTCTTCCTGTCTCTTCAATAATGAGATAGTCACCATGCATTGCTTGAAATATTATTCACACAGATATATGTGAACTTCCAGCACTACAACATGCTAATTGATGTCTTTGTATAACCAATCTTTGCTCTCATTTATGGCAAGATTTTAAAGGCCTCTTGTGACTTAACAAACAAATCATGCATCTTATTGGTAATAATATGGTCGGAGACTGCATAAGAATTATACAAACAAATGAAAATGCAAGACTTAATGCATTCAGTACAAGTTAAATTGTTTACATGTTAAATATGAAATTGTTTACAACGTAATGCTTCTGGTTTTTTTTTTTTGTGTTGTTGTCCTGATTCTGCTTCTGTCCAGTCAATATGAAATTGCTCCTGTGCTGCTTCAATTTTTTTTTTCCTCAGTCGTCTTTTTTTTTTTTGTTGTTGCATTCTACTGCTGTCCTGATTCTGCTTCTTTTGTTGTCCTGTCCTGTCAATATAAAATTGTTTACAACTGATATAAAATGTGATTCAGTACATGTGAATGTGTTTTGTTCCTTTGATTGTAGTGTGATAGTGTTATTCATAAATGGCATCGTCGTCCGAAGGGAACAAAAAAGATCCGGCATGGAAATATGCACACTTGGTAAATCCTCAAAACACAAACAAGTTCAAATGCAATTTTTGTGGAAAAGAGTCAAATGGAGGTGTCTATCGGGTCAAGCAACACCTAGCAGGGAACTCTACGAGTGTTATTACTTGTCCAAAATGCCCTGCTCATGTTAGGGAGGAGATTAGAGAATACATGGCTAAAAAAAAGGAAGAGAAGAATCTAATGAACATGGTTTCCGACTTTGATGAGATGCCTAATGACTTGGAGGAGGATGAAGATGATATTGTAGAGATTGTTGCGAATCGTAAAAGATCCATGACTAGTTCTAGTCAAGGTTCTACACAAGCCACATCGAGACCAAAAAAACCAAGACAAAAAGGGCCTATGGATGTATACTTCACCCCTGATCCGAATGTTGTGGTGCAAAATCGAAAGACCAAGGGGAGACAAACGAATATTGATGCCAGCGATCCTTTTAGAAAGGAAATGAGAGAAAGAGCCATCACAACATTTGCCCGATGGATGTATGACACGGGAATTCCCTTTAATGTTGTGAACTATGAAAGTTTTGCAGCAATGGTTGAAACTTTTGGACAATATGGTCCTGGTTTGAAACCCCCTTCTTACCATGAGGTTCGGGTCCCATTGCTCAACAAAGAAGTAGGGCATATAAAGTCATTGATGAAAGATCACCAAGAGGATTGGGCAAAATATGGATGTTCCATAATGGCCGATGGATGGACTGACAAGAGAGGGAGAACCTTGATTAATTTCTTAGTGAATTGTCCAAAAGGGACCATGTTCTTTGAATCTGTTGATGCTTCTGCATACTCAAAGGATGGGCAAAAAATGTTTGAATTGCTTGATAATTTTGTAGAGCGTATTGGTGAAGCTAATGTGATTCAAATTGTCACTGATAATGCGGCAGCAAATGTGTTAGCAGGTATGAGCTTCTTGAAAAAAAAAAAAAAGATAACTACTTGTTATATTGAATTTTTTTTATGCACACTAGTTGCTAAAAAAATCTTTATTTAATAGGTAAGTTTTTGGAGGCAAAACGACCAAATCTTTATTGGACGCCATGTGCTGCCCACTGCTTGGACTTGGTATTGGAAGATATCTTCAAATTGCCAAACTTCAAGAGAACATTTGAAAGAGGAATAGCATTACACGGTTATATTTATAACCGTCCAACTCTGTTGAATATGATGAGACGATTTACCCAGTCAAGGGAGTTGATTAAGCCTGCAAAAACTAGATTTGCTACGGCTTTTCTTACGCTAACAAGGATCAACCAACAAAAAGGTAACTTGAGAAAAATGTTCACTTCAGAGGAATGGACTACAAGCAAATGGGCAAAAGAACAACAAGGCAAAAGGACAGCACAAATCATTTTAATGCCTTCATTTTGGAGTAATGTTGTCTACTCTCTTAAGCTTACTGGCCCTCTTGTCCGTGTGCTTCGATTGGTTGATGGTGAGAAAAAGCCTCCCATGGGGTACATTTATGAAGCTATGGACCGGGCTAAAGAAGCGATTGCTAATTCTTTTAATGGCAATGAAGAGAAGTACAAACACATATTTGAAATCATTGACCGAAGGTGGGAAGTTCAATTGCATCGGCCTTTGCATGCAGCTGGGTATTTTTTGAACCCAGAGTTTTTCTATTCCAATCCAGAGGTTGAGAAAGATCAAGAAGTCATGAATGGCCTATATAAATGTTTGGAAAAGTTGGTCTCAAATCCTGCGATACAAGATAAAATTGGTCAAGAGTTGAGTATTTACATGAAAGGTGAAAACCTCTTTAAGTTGCCCATGGCGGTTAGACAAAGAACAACTAGGGCACCAGGTAATCTATGTTATCCCACAAGCTTATTTCATTATCATTGCTTAAATATGTTAGTTAATTAATTGTTATTCATTATTCACAGCTGATTGGTGGAGTGCATATGGGTCTGCAACTCCAAATTTGCAAACCTTTGCAAAAAAAGTTTTAAACCTTACTTGTAGTGCATCCGGTTGTGAGCGAAATTGGAGTGTGTTTGAGCATGTAAGTATCATCCTCAAACCTCTTCAATTACATTTTTTTTTAATCTTATTATAAATTTTAATGTATTGTTAATAAATTATTGCAGATACACACCAAAAAAAGAAATAGACTAGCTCAATCCCGTCTCAATGATTTGGTGTTTGTTAAGTATAATAGAGCTTTGAGGCGCCGATATGATTCTCGTGACACAATTGATCCAATATCTTTGAAGGATATTGATGATAGCAATGAGTGGTTGATTGGGAGAATGGATGCAGACACAGATGAAGATAATGAGCTTGTGTTTGGTGATGATACTTTGACTTGGGGCGAAGTCGCTCGAGCTTCTGCAGTTACGGAAAGTAGCCAACGGACTAGATCAATACCATCTACTAGGGTAACACCAAGGTTTACAAGATCGACGACTGGACTCACAGATGAGGAAGACATAATTTCAGATGAGGCAGAGGAGGAGGATACTGAGGGATATGAATCTAAGGATAATGAAGAAGATGATTTCTTTAGTGATGAGGATTGATTTCTAAGTCCTTGAGATATTTTCTTTAGTTGCTTGAATTATGTGTCTTATGTTTTTAAATATTAGGATTTGGGATATTATTAGTATTTGTATGAATTTAAATGTTTAAACTATGACTGTTATTAAGATTTGCAATATTATTAGTGTTTATTTTAATTTAAATGTTTATGGTTTTACTTGAATTTAAATATTTAGTATATATAAAATTAAAACTTTGATGTGTATAAGTAATTACACTAAAATATTTATTTATTTTTTTAACTGCTCACTTCGCTTTGGTAAATCGTTTCGCTTCGCTTCTCGCTTCTCGCCTAGGCGTTAAGAGCCTTGGTCGCTTCGGTTCGCTTAACGCCTTAAATAACACTGCCATAAGCAATACATCTGACAATCATGTGGCGCTCAAGCAATAAGGCTACAAAGAACAGGTGACAGGAGTCACAGGACACAGGACACAGTTCATTATGGGCACAAACCTACAATAACACTACCAAGTTCATTGGAAAACCCACATCAAAATAATACAACACATATAAGTGTAACATGGAAGCAGCGAAACAACAAAATCATGAGAATATTGAGGGACCCAACTGCTTACAATAACAGCCCTGGTACTTTCTTTTTAATGTCATATGACTCATCATCCTTTTGCCAATAACCACACTATTCAGGGAAGAAGAAAACAAAATAATAGCCTAACCATCTCCTAAAGTTCGCCCATAGAGGCCTGGTTTCTATGGACATGCAACAGCATCCTATATTCCAGTCATATACAGGATAGCCATGTCAAGTAATTTACACAAAGCTTTCTCATTGACCACAATGATGCTGAATGTGAAATGCACAACTATAGGCACGTGTAGGATGTACATAAACTTCTGGAACACCTAGTACCCTAGCATGGTTTGAAGGCATTAACTTTCAGACATGCTTGACATGGCCTTTGCAAGGGTGGTTTGAAATATCATGAGTTGTCTTTCCCTTCTTAAACAATGGTATAATCACCTATTTTCAAAGGTTTAGTGTCCCATCGCTTTTCTTCATTTGTTTTTTTTTTTGGTTTGCTCTGTCACTCTCCATTGTATTCCCTGTACAAATTTTTTAAGCGGAGAACCAGAATTTTGAATTTATGACTAATTGTCTGGAAAAACTTGTGGATACTGAACATCTCTTATACAGTTTGAGGATACTGCCATTGCCAATTAACTTTGGAAATGGAGTCACAAGAGTCATCATCTTATTTCGTTAAGTCTCTCCCTAGGGTTTTTGAATACCTATTTCACATCAGGTGAAATGAGATCCAATCAGGAAAGAAACCATGAGAAAAGAAAACCTGAAGATAATGTATTAAAACAACCATGAACCACCAACAACATTCATAATGAGCTCATCCAATAGCATATTAGCAAAATAGGCTAACATTCGTAAGGAGGTAAAGCTCTCCAAAAACAAATTTCGGTTAGTTAAAGCAAGCGAACTTACATCGCGAAAAGCTTCCCTGGCACCCACCAATGCCCAGAATTGAATATAAGAACATCTGAGTCAATCCACTTATTGCTAATACTGTCCATCTTATCCAACTCAATGGTGGACCTGACCCTATTTGGTACATGTTTAGGTGCCCAGTTACGTTGCACAAGGAAAACTGATCGAAAGAACTCAACAGTGAAATTCAAGGAACTGAATCTCACACCCAAATATCTAACCGATTTTGTTATCTTATTCCCATTGACTTCATAAACACTCCTCTTATCCTCCACTCCACTCATAAGCAAACATATTAAAGACTCCCATTGCGTTCTACCCATTGAATCACCAACAAAAACAACTCGTTTGTTTCGAAACATATCCAAAATACTCCGCACATTAAATCTTGGAATGTCACAATTCTTGGGCTTCCACCTCCATTTTTCATAATCCTTATCTGGCCGACCATTGCCCAAGCAATTGAATCCCTGCTCTGCAAAAGGACATTCTGAAGCATTGTACAAAGGGTTACTATCATCCATTACCCATCTTCCATCAAGAACATCACAACCACCTGCTGAATGATTAGAAGTAAGAATGTCATATTCATGAATGGAATCACCAATATTGGGCAGGATATTTACATAACCAATCCATGGGGCCAATATAAAGGAGAGCACTGATCCGATCACAAGCAGCACCTGCAATCGCCGCGAAACCCAACAGCTCCTATTAACTCTTGGGTTGTTGAAACTCAAGGCCCTGCGGTTGGAAGACATTTCTATTGAAACTACTCATAGTTCCAAGAATTTATAGCCCCAAGACCCAACACCACCGCTCCCCAAAGGATAGAGGTTTTCACTATAAGTCCCATACTGTGTTCCCAATCCATAGAGATCTTCATACCTATCATATAACGAATCAAGAGAATATAAATCCAACCTCCATCAAATGAACTTCAGTTGAAATCAATAATGCCATCAAGCTCCAAGATACAAGAAAATACTAATACTGATCCAATCATTACATCATGAAATTCAGCCAAAACAAATAATGGCGTCCAGCTTGGGGCATCCAGATGTTTTAAATCATCAAAATAAGGCTGGGTCAACTTTTTAACCATAAACAAATCAAAAGTATCCCAAATAACCAGACTCATTGGAATTTAAATATTCAAGCCCAACCCAAAACAGAAATCATTGGAAACCTAAAAGAATTCTCCACAAAAGACAAACCCAAGTGCAAAATCTAGTACCCTACAAGCATCTTGAATGAAATTGAGATAAGTGATAACCAATAAAATTATACGAGTGAAACAGTTACCACGTGAAGAAGCTGGCTTGATGGACTACCATGAATTATTTGAGGAGTTGCAGAAAATTAGAGGTCAGCAAAACCCTAGGTGCAGTGAGGTATTTTGAAGGATGTGTTGTGGTCTGAAATGGAGGATGTGGGAGTTGGTTGACACCAGAAAGCAGCACCTGAAAGAAGAAACAGAAGTGAGGGGTAAGAATGGTGTCGGGTCGTGATAATTTTGGTTTATATCGAGCACTATTAATTATTAAACTATCTCAACCAATTTAATGTTTTTTCATATATAATTCGTGAATTAAAGATTAAAAATTAAGATTTCAATATCTCTTTAAGGTCTCAATCATAATTTTTTATAAATTAAAAATTAACTTAATATATATAATAATAATAATAATAAAGTAAAAAAAAAAAATCCTCTTATTGTGCCAGGATCATGTCAATACTTCATAAAAGATGATAAAAATTTAACATTTTATTTATACTATATAAGTCAAATGTGTTAATCATATTAATTTTTGAGTTATTCTTTTTAAAATTAACTCGGCTCATTTATTAGTAACTAGTAATACACCACGTGAATAGTTTCATACACAAAAATTAATAAATATTAGTTATATGTATATTTGAATTAAATATCATCTCAAAGTTACCGAGCTTAATTTTGTTCATTGCTCATATTATGTTATGAGATTATGAAAATTTTATATGTTTCCATAATTCTTTGTTCTAACTATAACAAAAAAGGCCAAAAAAAAAAAAGAAATAGTTTAAATTTTGTGATTAAGATTGATTTTTTAGTGATGTTTGAGAAATTAATTTTTTTGAAATTTATTTGATTAAGATTTCACTTATAATTCCTTAAATAAAATAAAATTAATTGTCAATATACTAATCATATTAGAATTTTACTATAATTAAGAATTAGTTGGGTGAATTGAGATCAGATTTAATATACTATTACAATATATATAATCAAGTATATGAAAATTCTAAACAAATTCAAGTTTGACTTAAAAATACACATTACAACAAATTTAATTTTTAGCGACGAGTTTTGGCGACGAATAATAAAATTTGTTGTAAAAAAGTGATTTTCAGTAATAATTTTAAATGTTTGTTGTGGTAAATTATTTTGTGATATTTTTTGCGACTATTTTTTGTAGTCATCGCCAATATTCTTCACAAAAATGTTCCCTCAAAAAAAAAATTGCTAATTTTATGGGCCAAAAAAAAAATTGTCGCCAAAATAATTTTTCGGTAGCAAAATTTTTGTCAAATAACGAAAAATAAGAAAACAAAAATAATAATACTTAGCGACAATACATGTTTGTCGCAGAAAAAAAAAGTTAAAATTTTTTTTGCTTGATGACAATTTATATTTGTTCGCAGAATATCACTACAAGAAAATTTTTTTACTACGACAACTTTTTGCAACGTGTAAGAAAAATTATCGCAAAAAAAAAGACATTATACGGGTTGTGTTTGAGTGAGACCTGTCAAACAGTTTATCCGTTTAAATAAAATTAATATAATAATAAATTAATAATTCTTTTAAAAAATTAGCCAAAAAAAATGTAAAGAAATCAATACAAAAAAAAAAAGAAAAAAAAGTAAAACAGTAGTTCAAAAGACAAAAGGAAAGAAGATAAGGAGCAGTTCAAAGACAAAGGCAAACCAATGTTTTCTGTTTTTGTCCTACATCGGCAAATGAGGTGAGATGGAGAGAGTTGACTTGTCTATAAAAGGTAGTAGCCTCTTGCCTTTTTTTTAACCTTAAAATTTGATTTTTATGTGAGATTTGATTAAAAATTCCTATTTTTTTTAGGTAAATATAATTAACAGTAAAAAAATAGAGTATTACAATTTATTAATATAATTTTTTTTTAAATTAAACTGGTTAAACAAGTTGTGTTATATTACCCATTTATAAAATTTGTTCATTTGTTATTTAACATCGAAAAAAGGTTAGTCGCAAAACATGTACCTTGATTTTTAGCGACAAATATTACGTCACCATCAAAGAGAAAAAATATGACCATAATATAATTTTTTTTGGCGACGAAATTTTTTTTGTGACAAGTAGATGAATTTTTAAGCTACAAAATTTTTGTCACTGATAATCTACTTTAGCGACGATACTTTAGTTGGTCGTAAAACGATTTCAGTGGCGAGCCTGCCGCGACAAATTGACAACCAAATTTTTTTGTCGCAAAAAATTTTTAGCAGCGAATTATTCACTTTAAACGACGACTTTTTTTGCTGCTAAAAAACATTTTTCTTGGAGTGACTCTACTATATATATATTTTTACATAAAAGCTTAATACAACCTATAAAGTTTATTGTAGTTGAAGAATTATATTGATGTAATATAGATTGATTTTAAAAAATTATATATACGATTATTTTTTATCTTAAAGATAAAAGGATTAAACTTTTTGATAAAAAAGAAAATACACATATGTACGCATAATATTATCTTTGCATATGAGATGAGTAGTATTAAATTGATGGATTTTTTAAATGTTGATAAATTAGATATTTAATTATGAAAGGATAATGTGGTATTTAAAATTTTTGATAAGGGAGAAATAGAGATTCAAAAAATTTTCATATTAATGTACTTTTATTAGTGGTAGAGCTGTTAGTAGTATGTGTCATATTTGAGTTCTTGTCAAGATATGATTAACCTAAACCTGCTAACTTTATGTAAATTTTGAGTCATTCTTACATATGATATCAAAAATTGTCATCATTTTATCGAACGATAGAATTATGAAGCAGCATGTTCCAGGGTAGAATACAATAATAGCACCTAATGTATGAGTTTTATCTTAATATGGTCTCCCCTTTTTTCAAAGGTTAATATCATTTTTAGTCTCTAAAGTATGTATTTTTTGTTAGTTTAATACTCATGGTATCAATTTGGTTCTTAAAGTATTCAATTTATGTTATTTTGATTTTTACATAAATGGACTATCAAGTTTTTTTTATGGAAACAGTATCACATGTCTAATATGTGATTATTTTGTCAAAAAACTTGATGATTCATCTATGTAGGGGTCAAAATGACACGAATTAAATATTTTAGAGACCAAATTAATAAAATTGATACAATAAAGACTAAATTGACAAAAAATACATATTTTAATAACTAAAAATGCTATAAACCCCTTTTTGAATTATATCACTATATTCCCTAGGTTTTCAATCTTCTCAAAATAATTTAAGGTAATTTGGATGTTGGTGCAAAAATTTAGACTTATTTGAGTTAAACTATATTAGGAAAACTTATTTGGCTCTAAGTGCATTTTTAAAAAAAAGACTAAAAGGTCATTTATTATTCCATTACTCTCTCACTCTCTCTTTTCTATTTTATCTCTATCTATTTCTTTCACTCTCTTTCTCTCACATTGATAATTTATTTTTTTAAAATACATAAAGATTTAATTTATTTTTTCATCTCTCTCCCTTATTTCTTTATTCTCTCTCCTTATATAACAAAATAGTTACTCATGTGTTCTAATAAACAAATAGTTATACTAAATAATTATACAAAATTACAATATTAACTCAAATTTTCATTTAGTTATTTACATAAGTCAAAGAGTTACAAAATTATATACACCAAATTAGGTTTATTATTACACAAAAGACTTTACCATTATACTAAATTTGATATATATAATTGGTGTAACGATACTGCGATACTAGTGTAACTATTTAGTTTATGTAAACTACTGAATGTCAAATTCAGTTAGTATCATAATTTTGTGTAATTGTTTAGTGTAACTATTTTATTTATTAGAACGCATAAGTAACTATTTGGTGTATTATAAGACAATTGTAACTGATTAGTGTAATTATTTTTGTTGTAATATTGATATATATATATATAGAAAAATAGTTAGAGAAAATAGGAGGGGAGAGAGAGAGAGAGAGAGAGAGAGAGAGAATATGGGAGATAGATGAAAAAATAAATCAAATCCTTACATATTGAAAAGAAAATAAATTATCAGTCATAAATAGAGAGAGAAAATATGGAAGAGACGAGGAAAGTAACGGGGAGAGAGAGAGATGGAGAGAAAATAGGAGAGAGATAGTGAGAGAGTATGGTGAAATTTGTAAATGTTTGATTAGATATATAACTCCCAATTAAGAATACATAATTTAAGGGAAAGTATTTAGGTAAACATATTTTGATTTTATTTGAAATTTGTACTTAAACACAATATGTTTTATTAAAATTGAACTTAATCGAGTAAACAATTTATCCATACACTTTTCCACAAATAAGTCTAAAAAATTATACTCACTCCCAAAAAATCCAATAATTTGAGAAGGTAAAGCGTATATATTAGAGATTCAAACTTTTCAAAGGTTTCAATGGGCTAGTCTAGTCGCACCCTACATTTGACACATCACTCCACCATATATCTTAAAAATTAAAGCAATGTTACATATACT